GGCCATGTGCATTCACTCACTATCTCGTGAAGCAAACATCATGCATGATTTGACCTAGTGACAACTAAGGTACATTTCATATAACCCCAAGACATAGTTGTTTTCCCAATACTATATCATAGATTGGGAACGAACTTTGTGTGGATATGATTTATATGGTTTTAAGTTTTTGGTATTGCATATTTGAATTTTTTATTTTATTAACAAGTAAGGATATTATAGTATTTAACATTAAAAATGTAATTTTAATTTGATCATGCACGAATGAAATTATTAAATTATCACAACTCGGCCGTTACTAATTTACCACTCTACCTCTACCCTCATACTCCCCTTCCTCTTTTTTGTAATAGACCAAAAAACCAGAAAAACTCTTAGGCATCGACTATATGCAATCCAAAATTTACTTAAGGCAAGACCAAATAAAATTTTATACAAAATTAAGTGTAAAAAGACTATAATGACCTTAGTAAAACATAACAAAATAAAACATAATTACACAAATTACTCTTGCAAGACCAAATTTAAAAAAAAAAGAAAAAAAAGAAAAAGAAAAAAGAAACCCAACACAATTGAAGAACGGGAAGAAGGGAAAAAGATAACTATTTGCAGATTCGCCGTCGCGCCGTCATCGATGAAGTCGACTACCACCGGCGTCGCCGTTGCAATCGACAGTCGCCACAAGTTCATTTAGAACATAGGGTATGATTTTAGGGTTAGATTCCACCACCATTGTTGAAGGAATTGTGGTTTTAAAAATATCGACCTGTACTTGTCGATTTTTTTGTAAAATTCGACACATTGGTGTCACAATTTTCACTAAATTTCGACAATAAAAAGTTGTCGATTATTTGCATTTTTTTCGACATTTGTGTGTCGATATTTTGTTCAAAATTCGACATCAGTGTGTCGATTTTTAGCAATTTAAACGACATGCTGGCGTCGATTTTTCAGAAACTGAGAAAATCGACGTTGTAATGTCGTTTTTATTGCTAAATATCGACCTGTAAACGTCGAATTTTTGTGTACGCGAAATTATTTTCGAAAAACGAAAAAAACGATCACAAAGCTAAATAAAGTACAACTTTTCTTATTTCATTGTGTTCTTCGACCTTAGAATCATCCATATTAATGTTTCGTGTGTCCATAATGTCGTTCTTTTCAAGTTTTAGTAAGATTTGAGGATTTTGTTTGATAATGATTTTGGAGAATATGAAAGAGTTTTTTTGTGAAGAAAGAGGTTGAGTTTTGTTGGTGAAGAAGAATGGTCATTTTTCATTTTTATTTTTTTGGTCTTGCAATAGCAAGCAAATATTTTTTGAATTAATAATATCAAAATTAATATGGGGTCATATTTGTAATTTCCAGTCTTACTCTTAGTAAATTTATTTATATTTTGATCTTGCATGAAGTAAGGTCTTGCGCTAAGAAATTTTGAGATTGCAAATAGGTGCAGCCAATCTCTTATTTATAATTGACCAAAAAACCAGAAAAAATAAAATCAAAGAACCAGGTCCTGTTCATTCTTCTCCATCGCAAGACCAACCTTCAAGAAGAAAAAGGTTTTCCCGGAATCCCCAACGCCGTCGACTCTTCCGCAACCGCCGGAAAAGGCTCGGCACAAAAAACGTGGGTTTTGTATAAAGAAAATCGATAATTGCTACGTTCAAACAATTCCTAATTCCCCTTCTTTTCTTGTGTTCTACAGTGGCGCAGCATATATCGAAATGGTCTTGTGACATCTAAGAGACCAGCTCTTTTCAACCCCAACATTAATTTCCGGCGGTATGAGTTTCCGGCGAGCTTCTGATGTGTTTGTTAAATGGTTTCTTATTTTTATAGGTGAGGGTATTATAGTATTTTTAAGTAGAAAACTTGATTGTTTCAGCAATCGCCGCCTCCTTCCATCGCCCGAACTTTGCCACTTGGACCGACTGAGTAAGAAAATGGGTTGAAGATGATGCACCAGCACTACCTTGGATACTTTAAAATTGGGATAGGATTGCAGAAAATCCCTGATTCCGAGCAAAGTTCCACAAATTAAAACCCTAATCTTATTGAATCCAAACCCTGAACCTCCCAAAACCAGACTCTCTCAGTCGTAGTTTTTGGGATTGATTTCAACTGGTTAGTGAATTTGTTGAGATGAGAATGCTAGACGAAGATACAGTCTCTTTCTTAAGGATGAATTATAGAATTCATTCCGTGATATCTTCTATATTTTTTGCATAAATTCTCAGAGTTGGTTGATTGATTGTTGGGAATAAGTTTTTCAATGCTATGCTTCTTGCTAGAATAGCTCCAATATATTATACTTCCGATTTAATTGTTTTTTTCCGCTTCTTCAGAGTTAAATTGAACCAAGATCAACAAGAAGAGAAGGAAATAAATAAATAATGTTTGAAGGATTGGTGAGGCAGTTGATATTGGGATACCTTGGCCAATATATTAAAGACATCCAAAAAGAGCAGCTCAAAATCACCCTTTGGAATGGTAATATTGTTTCTTTCTACGGAACTATAATACTTATCTTTATCCTTGTGCTTTAACCCAGTTGCAAATACATGAGCAATCATAGAAGCATTATGACGATTATGAAATGTTTGAATTTGGTAGCTGAATAGGGATTGAAGTTCTTTCTATTCTTATACTTTCTTTTAATTTTGTGGGTGTAGAGGAAGTATTATTAGAAAATGTGGAGCTGATTCTTGAAGCTTTTGACTACCTTCGGCTGCCATTTGCGTTCAAACAAGGTAAATTTTCAAGTGGCTTTAACTTCCAACAGCTGGATTTTTGGGTTTCTTAATTTAACAGGAAATACATGTTGGCATATTTTCTGTCAGATTTTGAAAGTTGACTGTAAAGCATTTTAACTTATTGAACATAGCTTTCTTGATATCTTACTTGACTTTGCAAATATATGATGCCATATGAAAGAAAACTTAAATAAACTTGACCTGTATCTGCTTTATAGAGATGCTTCAGTGACTTGAGTGAAATAAGAGTAGAACTTAAAAGAACAATGTACCTAAAGAAGGTGAGACAATTGCTTGAAAAATTTAAAAACTATAGATTCCAAATGCATATGTTTGTAGATTACCCATTTCTAGTATGCTTCTAGCTGGAGGATTCCAGCAAGGAAATTACACTTGAAGTTGGTATTATTGAACGTAAGAGTTGTTTTGAAATTGTCCTGGCAACTGTTAAAATCTGGCATTTAGTTTTCTTTTATGGTTGTGCCGCTCTTTCCTTTCTTGTGTTATTCACATACTGAAAGTTAATCAGACCCGTTGCTCAATGACATAATAAGTAGTTTGGGTTTTATCACTTCGATGCTTCTGAAAATGAATTTCTGGCCAGTATAAGAATTTTGTGCTGATTAATGCTGTTTGATTGTGAATATCGCGATCCAGTTACGTGCATGAGATCCCTTGGTTTTCGTACCAGCTTATTCTCGTTTTCAATGCACCCATTCAAATAACTTGTACGCAATCATTAGTTGAGGCCTCTATCAAATTATGTACTAATATCATCACATCTTGGATTATCCTCTCCATCAAGTGGTGACTCAACCTACTTTTGTTGCAAGCAATCATAAATACGATTCATGCAGGAATAACCTCATTATAGTGTTGTAGATGGCGTGCTAAGTTCATCTGCTCGTATGAGCTGGTCTACCTCATCTGCTTTGTTTGTCTAGGAGAATGTCGGACACTTCTAAACTATTGGAAGTTGGAACACAATTGAATGTGATGGAGGGTAATTATGGCAGTTTAACTAAAATTCACAGCGAATGAATTCGGGGGTCGAAGACTTTGAAACGTGACAGAATTAAAAGGCTGCGTGTTTGGAGAAATAAAAGTTTACAAGTTCTAAATCATGGAAAATATAGAATTCTGTGGGATTTTCGGGGATAAAAAACAATGAAAACCATAATTTGTTATGCTTATAAGCATTTCATGATATGATCCTTATTGAGGAATATTCTCCATAGTGAATTCTAAAGGACATGCTTGTGATTATAACATTTTGGTAGCATCTTGAACCAGAATTGACAGACGATCACGCTCGAGAATAAAGAGAAAAATAATACAATTCATTGAAAAAGTGCATAACTTAAAAGCCCTCACAGGTGAGGAAGTATCATACAAGCATATGACTTTTCAGACTATCAAAGGACTTGAACTTTGAGATGCTAATATAAATTTAACACCCGACTGAAAATTAACATTTTAATTCATAATGCATGATACAGATTCTTGTCAATCTGAAATATTGCAATATGCTATTGATTCTTGAAACTTCTGGAAAACAACAATTAGGAGAAGAGTCTAAACTTATCAAGAGGGTAAGTTCCTATAATGAATCATGTAACGTTCATTATAGGCAACCGTTTCATTTTTTTCATCAATATGGCAGCAAAAGGTTCCAAAAAAAAGGAATCTGGCTAAAGAGTTAGTTTGGTGGGTTGAAAGAACCGGTGCAACAGTTTAGCATTGTAAATAATGAGAGGCTGTACAAAGTGTGTTAAACGGAGGGAAAAACTAAGAATCGGTTCTGTATCATGTGCTGGGGCTATCCATGGTATTTTTGGAATCGATAGATGACTTCTTCATGGAGAAAGAGAAAGAAAAACTTCGGATGATGAACTGGGTGGCTTGGGAGGTGGAGTAGTTATGGCAGAATAGGCAATATCGAGGCCATTACTCTTATGATTTTTGCAATCTGGGTTACTATTGGTTAATAAGAAGCTGGTATGCTGTACGAATTATTGCATTTGACAGTTTTGAAGGTGTCCTACAATGGCCCCATCAACTTGGCATAACCGAAGCATTCACAGTAGGCATGCATCTATTTATAGAGTCCCTTGACTACTTAGATCACTGTAGCTGATTTTTACGTCTCTTCTTTGCTCTATTAAGACAAACCTGGTCTATATTTTTGTTCTTTTCATCTTTCTAGTTTCTCATGAATTTATATACTGTCTTGTTACAAGGTCTCTGTTATAATTACTTAATTACAGGCTTTGATACCGTATCCTCTTATTTTTCACAGTCTTTAAGCCGTTGCTTTTGTAGGTCGGGTTGGCAAGTTAAGCATAAAAATTCCATGGAAAAAACTTGGCTGGGACCCCATTATAATCATTTTAGAGGAAGTATATATTTGCGTATCTCAGAGGGATGACACAGAGGTAATTATACGCCGAGGTTGTTACATCAAATTTTGAGGGTGAAAATACTTTGATTAACTTTCAACTCTTATGCCTCGTAACTGTCGTGATAAAATCATATTCTTCCCCACCCTAGCAATTCTCTTATCGATGGATAATGAAGGATTGTTGTGGCTTGAGCAGTATTACTAAATCCTATTCCTTATTGCCTCGAATGATCGTTTTCTATTTTACTGTTTCTTTTTTCTTGGTCGGTAGTGGTGCATGGATGCTGTTGAAAGAAGAGAATATGCAAGCAAAAAGGCCCAACTAGCGGCAGCAGAACTTGCAAAATTATCGAGACGCGTGTGTGGTGAGCATTTTGACATTGGTTTTCATTTTGAACAAGAATATCATTTTTGTTGTCATATTGGTATTGAAATTCTAGTTGTCAATTAGAAATGTAGTATGCGGAGAATGAGAATGTTTGGACTGCCCAGATCAACTTCTCCTTATCAATATTTATATCATCAACCTCCAGTACCTGCCATCACCACCCCTTTTATCTTCGACAAATGCTCATATGTACAAACATAAAATATGCAAAAATGACTTCTTCTATTTAACACTTCTTCCTCTCATTTTTGATATTTTCTGAACATCATCAAGATTGCACTCTACTGGTTCCCTTTATAATCATACGGTGAGACTCGTTATCGTTTATGCCTTTAGCTTTCTTCCATTTATCTTTAGTCTGCTGGTCTTTTTGGTGTTTCAGCAGCCCTTTCCTCCATGAACAACTAGAATATAGATTGATAAATGGTTTGCTATTAGAAGTAAACCTCCCCTATATGAGTAGTGATCTGTAGAAGTGAAATTACATAATATAGTTAGTGCACACATGCTACATGGCTATATGTTTATTTCTTCCTTTTTATGCTGTTTCATTTGTGTTTTTAGATCCTTATTCTAGGCGATTTGCAGATAGACTGCATGCTGGATTAACTTACTTCACTGTTATGGATTCATTTTGTATTTCAATTTTAAATAGTTTCTGTTCAGTAAGTGGGGCTTTTTTGTTGGTACTAATTAATGGCTTTCTCTTTTTAGACAATCAGACTGGAAAATCGTTCATTTCATACATCACTGCTAAGGTAATATTCCTTGCCCTAGCTGGCTAACCTTTCTCCTCCTTAGGTAGAATATCTCTGCATTTCCTGGTCTTTTATCTATTGTGTGAGGAAGATAAGGTTACCGTTTGTTGCAACATATCTTAAGTAGTCCGTGAGATAATTATTTAATTAATTCAAATCCTTAAATAATCTGCAGTAGTTATTTTTTTAGAGTTTGTTAATGTTGATTTCGTCCACATCATGTGTAATCGTTCTTATCTATGAAGCAGAGTCCTCGGAAACCTTTATCATTCATGGACTTCAATTTTGAATTTCTTATACTTCAACTTTTCTTTTATTATAAATCTTTCAGACTTCGCAATGCGTTTATTCTTATAGTTCATAAGCTCTTGTGGTTAATTTCTACTTGTTATCATGTTATAACAATTATACAATAATTTATAAGCTTATATAGTTGATTACTATGTGTTATCGTGCTATACCCATCAGGCAATAATTCATAAGCTTGTCTTGTTTTAACACATCAATTCATAATCTTGTCTGGTTTGTTTTTTTATCATGTTATACAAATTTGTGTTTGTTAGGCAATAATTTATAAGCTCGTCTTGTTGGATACTTATGTTGCCATGTAGTTATCAGTTTATTCAGTAATCCCTCTCACACTCTCTCACCTTCTCTGCCTTCTCTGTAAGATTCTTGACAGCATCCAAGTATCCATCAGAAATGTCCATGTCCTCTATCGTGACACACTGAGTGCTAAGGTACGATTTCATCCATATAAACAATTTCTCTTTCCAGTTCATTTACCATGCTTGTTCTGTGTAATTGAATTGTAATAAACTGCTTTGGCTGACAATTTTTTACGAGTCAGATCAAAACTTTTCCAAGAATTCGCATCTTAAGCATTTTACTCTTACATAACGGGTTGAAGTAGATCAATTTAATATATCTACGTTGTAAATCGGGTTCATGGGTTCCTTTGTTATATGCCAAGCAGGTTACTGGCATGTTAGACTTGGAAGCACTCTTGTTTCTATATAGATATGAAAACATTTTAGGTGTTTGACAAATTACAGTCAACAATGGTCTTTTAAGTTGCCCTCAATACTTATCTGGCATAGGAATGAAAGGAACATAGTTTTAATTATCTGAAACATAGCCGGCCACTCTCGGCACTGGCCCTGATGTTTAGGAGAACTGCTGTCAGTGCTTGTGGAAGTAAATGAAGGAGACAATGGTATTGGAAAGCAGATATATAGACATCAAAACTAGAAAATCTACGAAGAGAGGAACTCAAATGATCAAAGGAGATGTACAAAAGTCAGTTTATGTGCAATGCAAGACCGTCTTACAGGTATAAGAGAAATTGCCATAGGAGCTGCAACAGAAGGAGATGGACCAATTGACGGTCTATATTGTTGAAATAATGTTTGTTTGGATCAGTATACGAAATAACCAACAAAAAGGATTGCGTAAATTTCTCATCACATTAAGACGAAAGTTTAGATTTTCATTGCTCTTGGATGGCCCTGGGAGCAAGTTTTTGATTCCTTATTAAAATATTGACATTTTCCAATTGTTTCATTTTATCTCCTTGTAAAATAATCCCGCAAATAATTACTTTGGTGAACTTCTTACAATCAAAGTAATCTGTTATATATTTACTTCCAAAATATTGTTTTTTTCTATTTTCCTGGGTTCAATTTTGAGAATTCGACGAATTCTTTG